TTCATGTTGATCACGCAAGGAGGACTTGCATTACAGTGTATCCAAACATGGTAAGGAAATCACAAAGGTATGCAAAATCACGTGATTTCTAAGAAAAAAAAATGAATAAAAAAATGAAGGGTTGTTGTGTTAAGAATATCCCGACATTTTTGTGGATGGTTTGAAAAGCATTCGATGGGAAAACACAAGGAAAGCTTATGGACAGTCTACAACTTATTGACCACTGAAATATGGCACTTTCTTCAGACTTTCGTCATCTTAAAACTCTTCTTACCACTAGATTGGTCTTCCATTCTGTTTTGAACATGGCAGCCTGTTGCTCACACTCTGTTCCAGCAGCCACGAAATGCTGCTGTGTTAAAGCATAGTCAGCCAAGAACGAACAGACACTGCTATTTGGGCCTCTCTAACAGTTGCTGGACCATATTTATGTCTTGTCTCTCTTCTCTCAGGAGCTTGCCATTTAGTCTCACGTTGTGTTGCCCAACAGCTTGAAACAACTGTGTGGATTTGCCTCGTGGCCCTTCAGTGGTAGCATATATATGTATCACAGCTTGAATCTTGACTCTATTAACTGCTGATGTATCAAAGGGTTATACTGCTTGAATGGAATGGAAATTATAGGGGTGAGGGTGGTCTAAAGTAATAGTGCCCTCCGTAGGGGTGGGGGGGGGATATTATGGATGTTTTCTGGAACTATACATTACAGTTTACTCAAAACACAGTCAAATGTAAGTTGTGAGTCAGGAAACAAATAACCCTTGTTTTTAGTATGTTTTTGTGGTGAAAGTAGTATACATGTAGTATTAAGAAGTCTTTGCATTTTTTAAACTTTTTTTGCAATAATTATTATTTCAACTCAGTTGCTTTAAATGTCAGAAAGTAGGTTAAGTTCCCTGAAATTGATTTCTTGGAATCGAACCCATTACAGTCGGACACCGAAAGGACAGAGCGAAGTGTCCGTACAGCTGTATTAGAGAGGTGTCCGTATAAAAGAGCTGATCACTACGATGACGTCACTTTTATGACTTACTGATATTATTGATTTCTTGGAATCAAACCCATTACAGTCGAACCTCTCTAATACGGACACTAAAAGGACAGAGTGAAGTGTCTGTACAGCTGTATTAGAGAGCTGATCACTACAATGACGTCACTTTTACGACTCCACTTACAGTTTTAAGTGTTCAGTAGCTAGAACCAGGCTTACACTCGTCTTTAAACTGCATTTAAGTTTATTAATTCACAGTGCAAAGACACTGTCTTTCAGTAGCAGACAAAATTGTACATATCACCTACATATGTACATACAGTCGTAGACAAATCATGATCACTGCTTTAAGACCAAACGAGCTACAGCGCAATGCTGCATGTAAAAAGTTGTAACGTATTTGCACAATTCTGAAAGTGTCTTTCGCTATTTTGCAAGGCAGTATTAACAGTAACTAGAGTACAAAATGTAACACAAAAGATCTTCGATGCTGTCTGTAGTTATTGAAGCCTTCAAAAAGTTGGTTATTTTCTTCTGTACACCTTTTGCTAATTAATTGTTTGGTATATGGCGACTGGGCTTGAGAAGTCACCTTGCCTAGCTCATCAGCCAGACTAGATGGGATTTACCCTATGTGCAGCTTCACCTGATCGGGATCCGGTATTCACCCGATCACTACAGTGTCCATAGTAAAGAGGTTAAGTTTATATTAATTTACTCTCTCGAGCCAAGATTTAGTGCCCATTGTCCGTATTAGAGAGAGTCTGTATTATATAGGTTCTTTTTTAAAGAAAATACATGAGAATTTTGTCGGGACATTGGAAACTGTCCATAATATATAGAGGTGTCTGTATTAGAGAAGTGTCCGTTCAACTTTAACTTTAACTTTAACTTTTAACTTTATTTAAATTTGAAAATATAGCAAAAGATACATTGGGACTGGCCTGCAGTTAGCGAGGCTATTCGAGGCAGGCCAGGCTACATAATTTACAACAAACTAGACAAATACAAAGAAATTAGGCGTTATATAAGTATATACATTTTACATTAAATAGATACGTTCTACTTAAATGCAAGGACAATAATTAAAGTGAAATTTTAAAAATAAAATAAAATGAAAATAAAGGACAAGAGAATTACTTTTTCATTTTCACGATGATCGTATCCACATCAATATAGGAGTCTTCAGTTTCAAGGAAATCGAGTAGCATTTCTTTTAGTGATCTTTTAAAAGCTTTTTTCGGTCTTTCTTTAAGAATTTGAGGTATCCCATTCCAAATTTTGACCCCAACACGCGAAAAAGCATTTCGTTTGACATTGAGTCGAGATTCTTTAGTATAAAAGTGTTCAGAGGTTGAGGCACGTGTGTTGTAAGTATGAACACTAGAAATTCGAGAGAAGAGTTTCGAAATATTAACCGGAGCAGTGTTCTGCTTGAATCATTATTGCATCTTGAACATATTGCTGAAAATATTTTTAATAATGTTATTTTCTTTTTTTACCATTTAAAGGGAGTCAGGAATTTGCATTTAAGAGGGTACAGCATACATAATCCATCCATAAAAGTCACTAGTCTTGTCAATTTATGTGATTTTTCTAGAATGAGATTTAATAATAGACCAATTGATGAAAATTTATGGTATAAAGATTTACAACAAGCTTAGAAATTAAAGTTAGAAAGAATTGTACATGATGTTTCAAAAGCTGAGTAGCGGACACATTTAACATTCAAGTTTCTCTTATAGATGTTTTTGAATAATTGTTGTGACTTAACCTTATGGATTAAGTTGGCCAATGGCATATTTTTTTTATTATTGAATCTACAAATTTCATAGTTTTTTAAAGTATACAAATTCATCAAAACAGTCAATTTTTCACAATTTTTTTCATCACTATAATCTGTCACCATTTTGGCACACCATTGACAGGATGTAACAAAGGGCTATACAGGGTGTCCCAAAAGTTCGTTCCTCTCCTTTATAAGTCTGTAACGCAGTACGATTGGACTTGATCAGCGCATAATTTAAACTAAAGTTGTGACTTTCAATCTAATTTTAATAACATTTCATACTTCTTGTGCCCTCTATTGTCTCGAAATTCGATTTGTGTAATTTCACGCCAAAGGTGCACTGCACGAGTAAATTTTCCTGCCATATATTTTTTGCATTTTGTAGCCCGAAATGCTCGAACTCCTAACTTGTTTTGTATGAATATCCTGAAAGATAAACCCTCTCAACAAAAAAAAAACACTCAGCCACGTGCGAGCAGAAGCATGTATTTCTATCTACTGGCTTTTCAGTTAAAGAAATTCAATAAAAAAAATGGAAAATCCGAATGTTGGGAGGTAAGATGGTCGTAGAGAAATGAAGGTTTTACAGACAAGAAACTAGAGGGAAGACCGAAAGTCCTGAATAAAACTGCTAAAGTAGTTTTAAACATTAGGCCATGTACAAAACAGAAAACCCAGCGAGGTAGATCTTACAACAGTTAGCAAGTCAAGTCTGGAGTAGGTTCACGAAAAGCAAAGTTTGGAGACCCCTGAGATGGCAAAAAACCTTTACTCCCGGCCAGGGCCGTCCGCCAAGCAACGTTCAGCTCGTCTCAAATTTGTAAAGAAGAACAAAAGCCTTACTGTGGAAAGGGGACGGAATGATCATCTTTTCTTGGATCCATGCCCAAAAGATATTGCCTCAGCTGCCTTATCTACAAAATTATATTGTTTGGGGGTCGAAGTGACTCCTGCATACTAGGTGATAAAAAAGCTCAAAATGAATCATCTAGGGCTCTACATGCTACATGGCTTATCTCACTTAATGCCGAAACGGCTACAGGGTGTGATAAAAAACAAAGGGGGGATGCCGGTAACTGAACTTCTGAACACAAGTACTCGATAGAGTAAGAAACATATTTTAGAAATTTGAATTTTCATGTAAAAATGAAGTGTTGAACAAAATTATAGCGCATGAAATTAGAGGAACAAACTTTTGGAACACCCTGTATATCTGATAGCCCAGGGCTCAAGTGAGGCAACTCATGGGGTGTCCAGTGAGTAAACAGCATTTGCCAAGATAAAGAGTAATCTGAAATGCTACAGAAAAGGGGACTGGGGTTGGTTGACCAGCATGAATGCTTTACTATGGCTACTAAACTTCAGCAACAGTTTGATCAAAGGGCAATGAGTTTTAATTTTCACCTCACCGTGATTGAGGCACCTATCAGCTTCTTCTCAGTAACAAAGGAGCTGTGACATTAAGCAACAGTAAAGGTGGATTTAGGGGTGGGCCAAAGGGGGCCTTTTTTCCTTGAAATTGTTTTTTATTATTTTTATAGAATTCTCAGAACAATAAAACGTTTCTATATAGCTGGCAAGTGGGCAAGTGTCCCAGCCACCCTTTTCTGAATTTTCTGGATCCACCCCCGGCAGATGCTGGTGAGATGAGTTGATGAGAGATTTGTTTATTTTTGATAACTTATTTAGAGACCAAAAACCAATTCCAGCATACAGCAAATAATACAAAATGTAAACTTCACTGTACTAATCCTCTTGGTGGTCAATGTTCACTGCTTATGAAAAATGTACATGTATGCAGCGTGCAAAGAAAGTAGTGTCTAATAGCCCGGGGCTAGTGGATTTTGCTATCGGGCTAGTGAATTCTGTTTTTAACTTGCCCGTCGGGCAAGTTAAAAACAGAAGAACTGTGAAATCAATTCTGCTAGTCAAAAAGTTTTTAGGGCCACAGTTAAAATGACGTCTGGGCTAGTAAATGCTAGCTTCAGCTTGCCCGAATGGCAAGCTGTAAAAATGATTTTCTTTGCACCCTGTGTATGTATTGCATGCCATTATCAAAATCGAATAAATTATGCAAAAGATTCCAGTTAAACCCCACTAACCCAGTGTCCCAGAGAAGACAGAAAAAAATTAATAACTCATGATCAGGTTTGTGGAGATGGACCAGATGGAGAGATCTAGGTTGGGAGGTACATAGGAAGGAAATAATAATTTTTGTTGTCAGGGACTTGACTGACAGCCTTCTTTGTGTATTTCCCTGCAGTAATAACAGTTGCTTATGCTTGTCAGTAGATCAATGACAAGTGATGATGGTGTTTCCTTCCCTTTTTCTAATAGTTTATTGTTTCCTCCTGCTCTTCGTTGAATTACCTTTCCATGCTGTTTTTCCAGATCTAAATCTGCCGTTAAGGCTGGTCCACAGGAAGTAAGATTTTTTGATTGTTTTTCTTCCTGTGGTTCTGATACTGTGTAAGCTTTCCTTGGGTTTCTGAGGTTGAAATTGAAATAGCAGTTACAAAAACAAACTGCATGTATACTGCTAATTCAAAAGTAGTTCAAGAAACTTCCTCTTCTTGGCTTGCTATTATCCCTTTTTAAGCCACTACAGGTATGACTTTGTCATTATTTCTTTTTTCAAAATTTGGGTGTGATTGTAGGTCATGTGTACTGTTTCATTATACAGTACCAGTATAAAAATCAACTCTTTTAGTTATTGGGATCTCAAATATTATTTTTTGAGGTCCCCAAAGTCAGCAGCCTATGTTATTTTTGTTATTTCATTTATGGGTACTTTAATTTTGGTTTCGGTTCATATCATTCTCATAGTTGCCTTGCCCTGTTTGTTCGGTGAAGCTAAGCCCTGTTAGGCGGGGTTAGTACTGTGATAGGGGACACCTTTTGGGATATTGATATACTTTGACTTTAAGTTTATTTTTCAAAAAAAAAAAGTTTCATTGTTTAAACATGCTTATAGAGTTTTTTGTTACATTTATAAGATTTAGAGTCAGAAGAAAGTGCAAAGGACTTTCTTTGATCAAATTCGTGTGTTTATTGCAAGTAGCTAGGGGAAGTGGTGAACTAGAGCTGACATATAGTCCTGCTTTTTATATCATCTGGCTTGTTTATAGCCTGCAGTGCAGTTGGCCAACATATCGTGTATAGTTTAAGCAATAGAAAACGTTTTTCCTGTTTGCATAGCCTGATATAAACACGAGAGGGGTTGGGAGAATTCGAGACAGTTATGCAAACCCGAGACGACGTCGAGGGTTTGCATAACTGTCGAAAATTCTCCCAACGCCTCGAGTGTTTATATCAGGCTATGCAAACACAGGAAAAAAGTTTTCTATTGCTTTTATAAAATAACTTTCCCGAGAAAAAAACGCAAAACTCTTTGTA